CGTGTGTATGTGAGAGGGAGTGAGTGACATTTTACTCACATTAATTGAATATTCTATGAAAATATTTAAAATGATGGAGTTGTCATTCTCTCTCTTAATTCCTTTTACTGACAGAGAGAATGGGAGGAGAGAAAAAATGTTTTATGATTTTAGTCAGATTTGATTGTACTGAGACACTGGAAACCGTGTATCAAGTTAACCAGTGCTTTATTATAATAACCCCCGAAGCACCAAAGTACACATGTATCATAGCCATACTGTATTATAAACTTGTATTAATGTGCATCATTACAAAAGGCAAATGGGAAAAGTTTAGAGAGCAGGAGAGGGGGCAAAATTAAGGAGCAGGTTCCAGAGGAGAGATTGAGAGGGAGAAAGACACAGGAAGACAGAGGTAGGGGAAGGAATAGAAAACATGGAGGAGGAGAGAAAGAATAAGTACAGGAAGAGGATGAGGACAAGTCTGGATGGAGAGTGGGGAAAAAGAAAACCAGAGGTTGAAGTGAAAGAAAAGGAGGAGTCAGGAATGAGTAGAGGAGGAAGAGAGAGAGGAGGAGGAGCCAAATGTAGTTCAATATGGAAAACAAGATTATTATAATTGGGGTTTGAACAAATTGACTGGTATATTGATGTCAAATTCAAATCAATTCATCATCATCATCATCATCATCATCATCATCATTTTACTCTGAATCATTAATTAAGATAATTAGAATCAAAACAAATGAGGTGATACATGTTTGAGGAACAATCATTACAAAGGTTTTGAGTAAAAATCATTACAAAGGTGTTGGGAAATGCACTGAATGTGTTGATGTCTTCTGAAAAAACGATGCCTGTCTCTTAAAAATTCCCCATTAACTTTTTCGTTTTTAATTCTGTGTTAAAATGCTTACATTCTTATTTGTGAGTAAATCTTTGCAATAAATGCTAAATGTTAAAAACAGGATACTATGGCCCAAAAACATCCTACTTCGATAGTTGCACACTGTTAGTTAAACGTGTTTCCACTTCAGCGTTTGTAATGCATTTTGTCGCCAATTAACATCTGGCCATTTGGAAGACTTGTTTACTAGGCTAATAGCTGAGAACAACATGTATTTATTCTCACCTAGTAGTCCATTGGATAAGAACCAAATATACCGGAGATCGTTCAACTTTATGTACAGTTGAAGTCGGAAGTTTACATACACCTTAGCCAAATACATTTAAACTCAGTTTTTCACAATTCTTGACATTTAATCCTAGTAAAAATTCCCTGTTTTAGGTCAGTTAGGATTAACACTTTATTTTAAGAATGTGAAATGTCAGAATAATAGTAGAGAGTGATTTATTTCAGCTTTTGTTTATTTAATCACATTCCCAGTGGGTCAGAAGTTTACATACACTCAATTAGTATTTGGTAGCATTGCCTTTAAATTGTTTAACTTGGGTCAAAAGTTTTGGGTAGCCTTCCACAAGCTTCCCACAATAATTTGGGTGAATTCTGGCCCATTCCTCCTGACAGAGCTGGTGTAACTGAGTCAGGTTTGTAGGCCTCCATACTCGCACACGCTTTTTCAGTTCTGCCCACAAATGTTCTATAGGATTGAGGTCAGGGCTTTGTGATGGCCACTACAATACCTTGATTTTGTTGTCCTTAAGCCATTTTGCCACAACTTTGGAAGTATGCATGGGGTCATTGTCCATTTGGAAGACCCATTTGCGACCAAGCTTTAACTTCCTGACTGATATCTTGAGATGTTGCTTCAATATATCCACATAATTTTCCTTCCTCATGATGCCATTTATTTTGTGAAGTGCACCAGTCCCTCCTGCAGCACAGCACCCACACAGCATGATGCTGCCACCCCCGTGCTTCACGGTTGGGATGGTGTTCTTCGGCTTGCAAGCATTCCCCTTTTTCCTCCAAACATAACGATGGTCATTATGACCAAAATGTTATATTTTTGTTTCATCAGACCAGAGGACATTTCTCCAAAAAGTATGATCTTTGTCCCCATGTGCAGTTGCAAACCGTAGTCTGGCTTTTTTATGGCGGTTTTGGAGCAGTGGCTTCTTCCTTGCTGAGCGGCCTTTCAGGTTATGTCGATATATGACTCGTTTTACTGTGAATATAGATACTTTTGTACCTGTTTCCTCCAGCATCTTCACAAGGTCCTTTGCTGTTGTTCTGGGATTGATTAGCACTTTTTGCACCAAAGTACGTTCATCTCTAGGAGACAGAATGAGTCTCCTTCATGAGCGGTATGACGGCTGCATGGTCCCATGGTGTTTATACTTGCGTACTATTGTTTGTACAGATGAACGTGGTACCTTCAGGTGTTTGGAAATTGCTCCCAAGGATGAACCAGACTTGTGGAGGTCTACAATTTTTTTTCTGAGGTCTTGACTGATTTCTTTTGATTTTTCCATGATGTAAAGCAAAGAGGCACTAAGTTTGAAGGTAGGCCTAGAAATATATTCACAGGTACACCTCAAATTGACTCAAATGATGTCAATTAGCCTCTCAGAAGCTTCTAAAGCCGTGATATCATTTTCTGGAATTTTCCAAGCTGTTTAAAGGCACAGTCAACTTAGTTTATGTAAATTTCTGACCCACTGGAATTGTGATACAGTGAATTATAAGTGAAATAATCTGTCTGTAAACAATTGTTTGAAAAATGACTTGTGTCATGCACAGAGTAGATGTCCTAACGGACTTGCCAAAACTATAGTTTGTTAACAAAAATGTTGTGGAGTGGTTGAGAAACAAGTTTTAATGACTCCACGTAAGTGTATGTAAACTAACGACTTCAACTGTATGTACCAATTACAGTATTTATGGAGATATGGCCATGTGAATTGTGTCCAATACGGCCCCATGCAGCTGGTTGGTGGCTGTACAAAAGCCCTCAGTGGAGCAGCATACTACTGAGATAAACTTGATCAACCGAGTTGATTTCACCTGTGGACTCTCTATCAATGCCACACACTTGTCACTAATTATCAGGACTGCCCTGATAGGCAATTTCACAGCTTTAGTTTGTATTTAAATCCTGTCTAGCCATTCCTCAGTTTCTTTCCAGTTGTGTGCGTCCATGTGAAGAGTGAGTTTGTTTCCTGTTTTCCATGTATATTTTAGTTAAGTCATAACATTAAGATGTCATGTACAGTAATTTCCTTATTTTACTTATTTTAGATATATTGGTTTAATAGATTCATCCTTATCACCTTTACCTTTTATGTTATGCAACCCGTCCAACCACAAGGCCATAATAAATATGTGAACTTTGGCACTATCTCTGTTGTCTGCTTGCTCTCTGACCGGAGCAGAGTACTCCTAGTGACATCTATCCAACCAGTTACCTATCTTGTGTTTCTTAGCCTATTTTTCATTGGCCATATTGGAAATTACTGCCAGTGGGGTAATGGGTAAAATCTGCAATGGCACTATAGCCAAAAATATTTATTTAGACATGCCCTAGCTGTGTGTGAAATTCGGTGACGCTATCACAAAGTCCACAATTGTTTCACGTAGCCGCTGGACCATGGTCAAAATGACCTCAATATGACCTCTAAGGTCTTAAGAGTACTTTATGATCAGAATTATTGTCTATATTATCTATGGGGTTTATTTAGTGGGTAGATAACAATACAAAGTTATTTTTATATTGTTTGGAATGACTTTAACCTATTTTCCTCTAACAGGAAATCCAGATGGCAATCATTTGATTAAAATGGCCACCCAGGCTTCCCAGATCTTTAAAATGTTCCTTAAGGTATCTAGTATTAGTGTACCAAGTTTGATACTTGTATCATAAAATGGAACAATTATTTCACCAATCTGCTGGACTATAGGGGAAAGTCCCCGAACACATGGCCCCTATAGCCCTGCCTTTGACCACAGTTACTCAGCTGGGGCTTTACCATCTGTAGATGAGATGTTCCATCATGGATCGAAGCTTGGTACTCACAAGTCGCCTTTGTCAGTGTGATAGGTATGCAAGTACTACTAGCGCATTAACAGAACAGGGCTCATTGTCAGAATGCACTTTTATGAAAATGCACTACTGGTTTGCGAAAACCAGAACAAGTGTTCTGTATGTAGCAAAAAGGAATGGGCAGCAAGAAATCACAAGCCATAACCACTTTATCTCTCTGAATTCATACGTAAGAGTGCTATCTAGTGGAGATACGTTAGATACATAACTTGATGACTTAGAACGACAGCCATGCAGGGTTTCAACTTCATATTCAATCACAGGTATCCAGATATTAGGGCTTAAACGTTGTAGTTACTTCCATAGAATTGTTATTGGATATTATGACTTGCAGTCATTAATTAGGCCTAATGCTGGTCAAAGGATATATCCTCCTGGAAGGATTGTATCCCAAGGCAAATGCAGTACTCTCTGTATGTATTTAGACAGTGACATCCAAGATGGCTTTTTGGGGCTTTATACTCCGCCAAATTAGATTTGATGCGCTCTATTTGATCCATTCTATTTCCTCCAGTCATCTTTCACCATCGGAGAAAGAACAAAGACAATTGACTTCCCTGTCATGGCCACTAGGTGGAGTGCCGGAGCTTTTTGCATCCTTTGTCCGTGTGTCACGCTCGCATCAAAGCACACAGCCACACACACATCGTTGCCTCACACGGCACAAAAATATTTGTCACGTGGCTGCAGTCCCTCCAAAAGCTGACAATGACCTAGTTCCCCCCTCTCTGAGCTGAGCTCTCCATCTCTCCCATCATTCATCAGAAGTGGGTGTAGGCTAGGTAGCAGCATCACCATCACATCAAGCGCCACACTACGCCTGCTGCCACCTCTCCTGCACTCTCTAACACACCGGAGAGAGGGAGACAAGGGGGACGAGAGAGAGAGAGAGAGCGTGTGCAGGAGAAAAAGAGGGAGACAGAGAGTGGAGGAGAGAAACAGAGGGAGGGTGTGTGTGAGAAAGAGACAGAGAGTGTGTGAGAGATAGAGACAGAGAGTGTGTGAGAGATAGAGACAGAGAGTGTGTGAGAGATAGAGACACTGTGAGGGAAGCCTAGCTAGGAGGAAGAGAGCAAAAAAGGGAGGAGGGTGATAGAGAAGGGGGCGAAACAAACAACAGGATGGCAGAGCCGGAGCTGAAACCATGGAGCAGCCAGGAGAGCTTGAAGAAGGCAGCCGAGGACCAGGAGAAGATGGAGGGTAGGTACACCGCTACAGCACAACACACACATGCTGTAGCCTAGCCACCACATGGTGCAGAGTTGCATCAGTCACTCATAGGGTAATGCATGATCTGGTGCAGCAATGTATGCATGCATTTATATATGGATGTACATGTACTGTATATGTATTTGGTCATGCACAGATATCAGGCTATTACATATTGAGGTGGTATGGGGGTTAGCTAGTGTTTTCTAATGCCGTGATTTGCTTCAGGTCTACTGAGAGGTTAAGAGTGGGGATATGTTTTGACTTGTGAAATTCATCTGTGTCTGAAAGGCCTATCACAGTTTATACACACACACACACACACAACATCTCTGCATTGATGCGTTAATGAGGTCTAGTCTGTCTTGGTAAGCAGGTTCGAAGATACCCTGGTGTGGTATTAGTCAACTTGGCATTCATCTGATGGCATCTTTGTTATAAACCACAGATCTCCATAAGCATCCAATAGAAGTCATGGTGCTTGCATTATCCTACTTTCCCCTCATGGCATAGCTTATCAATTCCTTCCCCATCTGTTTAGTCTATTTACAATCCAGGACCATTTAAAGTAAATGTGCTGCTCAACTCCTGAACTATCATCAAAAGGAGAGTGCCAGCAATCCCTTCTCATGAACTCTACCCTGTCCCCCTCTTTCTTTCCCACCCTGTCACCCTCTCCTCCCCCTACCTTTTCCCCCTCCTCCTGCAGCTGAGGCAGTTCCGGACAACCCTGACAAGCCTCCGTCGCTGGACAAGCCTCCATCCAAGCCTCCGTCTCCATCCACCCCTACCCCTACGGCTGCCGACGCCGTGGAAGCCACCACCCCTACCGCAGAGGCCTCCTCCCCAGCCAAGGTGGCAGGCGGCAAGATTGAACTGAAGCGCAGCATCACGCTCTTCAACGGCGTGGGCATGATCATTGGCACCATCATCGGCTCGGGCATCTTCATCACGCCCACCGGGGTGGTGAAGGAGGCGGGCTCGGCCGGTCTTTCGCTGGTGGTGTGGGCCGTGTGTGGCGTGGTGTCCACCATGGGCGCCCTATGCTACGCCGAGCTGGGTACCACCATCACCAAGTCAGGAGGAGACTACACCTACATCCTGGAGGTGTGTGTGGGGGTGTGGTGGTTCTGTTGGGGGTTGTGTTTGTGTACGTGTTTGTGTGTGTCTGTGTGATATCTGGGGGGCTTGAGAAACGAGCAGAAGCCAAAACTGTTGTTCACAGTTGGACGAATAAAGTTGTATTGTAGGTGTACGGTGAGCTGGCTGCCTTCCTCAAACTGTGGGTGGAGATGCTGATCATCAGGCCATCCTCCCAGTACGTGGTGTCGCTGGTGTTCGCCACCTACCTGCTGAAGCCCCTCTACCCAAACTGCAGTGTGCCCGACAGTGCCGCCAAGCTCATCGCTTGTCTCTGCCTCAGTGAGTATAACCAGCACTACCTCCGGAATCGGGTGGCCTGTACATTGCAGAGATAATACTTTTACAAAAATTATTAGTGAACTATACAAATACTGACACATACTGCAACACACATCAACCAAACAGGTGTTTCTTAGCCAGCTGCGTGATTTAATATTTGTTACCGCTACTACTTCTGTATTCACAAAATTATTATTTTGCAGGCCTCCTTTTTGTGTTTATTTTTTTACTCTCCCTGCCGTTAAGGGACTGTTTTCCCCCACTGATGTTATCTCACTTCTACTGTATATTTATTTTTAAATAACAAATGACATCAATAAAATAATAATAAAAACATAAACATGCAATTTACATGAGGGACAATCATGTTCTACCCTGTGTTTCCCTCGGTCAGCATCGTTGACCTTTGTGAACTGCATCAGCGTGCGGGCTGCCACCAAGGTCCAGGACTTGTTCACTGCGTCCAAGCTCCTGGCCCTGATCATCATCATCGTCTTCGGCTTCATTCAGATCGGCACAGGTAAGGCCACACACCAAGCACACACATGTACCGGTGTCTGTGTTGGTAAGTCTGACACATGTCTGACACATACTCTCATCCTGTCTATAGGTTAGTGCTTGTTATACATATTTCACCACGACTTAGCTAGTTATGTGTATTATCCAGTGTTTTCGTAATAATCTCTTTATAAAATACTAAAGTGAAGCTGAAAATTACTTTGATATTTTTATAGCCTACTATCTGCGATATAGCTAAACCGTCTGCACCCTCATGAATTCTTAGCAAAATAGCTTTGTATTTAAAGACAACCCACCCATCCGAGATACATTGTGCTGTCGTGGAAATTTTACACAGGGACACTCGAAGTCAATCTTAAATGGATAATTCTTTATTATCAGCACACTGGAGAGGTTCCAACCAACTCAATGCACGAAGTACATATATCGATCAGGAGCTCCACCGGGGCAGTCCCGTTAGTTCTCTTATATACAGACAAGTTATATTTGTATGATTTAGCTTATTCATCATTCATAATTAATTAATCATAAAAGTTTGCTTCATTCATGTGACCGACCAATACTGGGTCATGCATGTGACAGACCAATACCTCTCTCTAAGCTGAGACCTTGAAATTTAGATATCTTTCGTTCTCAAAACAAGGGTCTGGGCGTACTGCCAAATTGCAGATACTAATAGTGAGGATTAGATTTTAGCTTCTATATCAAAATACATCATTATAATAAGTAATAATAAAGGTAATACTTCTATTAACGGGAGTGAATCTAATTTCATTCATAATCATCATAATAAAGCTAAATTCTACAATCAAAGTAGTAAGTAATAAGTAAACAAAATCAACACTTTAAACCACAGACACTTTCAAACCCTTCATTCTGGCTTGTACAATCATTCTGGGTTGTACAATCATTCTGGGTTGTACTTGTAAAACCATTGCAGTAGAATGTTTTAACTTAAGACCTTCGCTTCATACAGTTACACATATGCTTCATTACACAATTTCATTGATGGATTCTGGCAATGACATTTCAGCTGGAGCTTTTGTCGCGAGTGGCATGTTAATGACAGATCTGTATCAATGCATTCTTAGTCTAAATTACAATTTATTTTGCTTTGTGCAGACCTCCACAATCAACCTGATACCCCAAATAAACAATTTTGGATAAGCCTAAATTAATTACGGGCACGGTTGACCACCCCCCTCCCTGCCGGCACAAATTATTACTACTACCAATATTCTTAATACAGATTTCTAAGACAAATGTCAAAGAGAATAACACCACACAGTTGAAACCATTTTCCCCCCCCCAAAATGTGCTTATACTCCCATATCATCTTGGGGATCTCACCGCAGAGTTACAGGGTCAGGGAGTCAGAGGGCGAATCCTTAGGGAGAAATCTCGACCATCCAGCAGACCCAATCTGGTGAGATTTGTATTGAAGCAAGACAAAAACAAACACAACAACAGCAATACACTTCTTCATATAAAACTAGAGTTGGGGAAAACTTCAATCCATTTGGAGTAACTGTCAACTATTACCAACATATATTTTTTCCTTCATCGATTTGCATATTTACCAAAGGGCCCCAGGGGACTGGTAATTCCCCCTTTGGACACATGACTATCATTGTGATTCATGCATCCCAAAAAACAACAACACTGCCTGTTAAATCAAAATAACAAATAAAATTAAAATTACAACCCTTGATGGGCCGTAATGAGAGCCCCTCTCTTGTAATCATTGTCATTTTGACCTGTTGCATTGACATACAGTTCTGTACAAACTGTCCCTGGGACATAAACTAGTCAAAATATGAAACCTGTTGTTTAACAAATCTGCTAGGGCCTTCAAAATGTTGGTGCTGGCTTATTAGCTCAATATTCGGTACTAAAACATTTACTTGAATCTACTTCAATTCTGGACACAGTTCCACGTAATGGAAACAGATTTTTGTTTTAGATGACATTACTTACTTAAATCACTGGTGCTACCCAAACTATAGAACTATTGGTGAGAAGGCAACAACTGTTGGCGCAATTATTCTAAAATGGAAGAAGTTCAAGATGACGGTCAATCACCCTCGGTCTGGGGCTCCATGCAAGATCTCACCTCGTGGGGCATCAATGATCATGAAGAAGGTGAGGGATCAGCCCAGAACTACACGGCAGGACCTGGTCAATGACCTGAAGAGAGCTGGGACCACAGTCTCAAAGAAAACCATTAGTAACACACTACGCCATCATGGATTCAAATCCTGCAGCGCACGCAAGGTCCCCCTGCTCAAGCCATGTTCAGGCCCGTCTGAAGTTTGCCAATGACAATCTGGATGATCCAGAGGAGGAATGGGAGAAGGTCATGTGGTCTGATGAGACAAAAATATAGCTTTTTGGTCTAAACTCCACTCGCCGTGTTTGGAGGAAGAAGAAGGATGAGTACAACCCCAAGAACACCATCCCAACCGTGAAGCATGTAGGTGGAAACATCATTCTTTGGGGATGCTTTTCTGCAAAGGGACAGGACGATTGCACCGTATTGAGGGGAGGATGGATGGGGCCATGTATCGCGAGATCTTGGCCAACAACCTCCTTCCCTCAGTAAGAGCATTGAAGATGGGTTGTGGCTGGGTCTTCCAGCATGACAACGACCCGAAACACACAACCAGGGCAACTAAGGAGTGGCTCCGTAAGAAGCATCTCAAGGTCCTGGAGTGGCCTAGCCAGTCTCCAGACCTAAACCCAATATAACATCTTTGGAGGGAGCTGAAAGTCCGTATTGCCCAGCGACAGCTCCGAAACCTGAAGGATCTGGAGAAGGTCTGTATGGAGGAGTGGGCCAAAATCCCTGCTGCAGTGTGTGCAAACCTGGTCAAGACCTACAGGAAACATATGATCTCTGTAATTTCAAACAAAGGTTTCTGTACCAAATATTAAGTTCTGCTTTTCTGATGTATCAAATACTTATGTCATGCAATAAAATGCAAATTAATTACTTAAAAATCATACAATGTGATTTTCTGGATTTTTGTTTTAGATTCCGTCTCTCACAGTTGAAGTGTACCTATGATAAAAATTACAGACCTCTACATGCTGTGTAAGTAGGAAAACCTGCAAAATCGGCAGTGTATCAAATACTTGTTCTCCCCACTGTATATTGTGCACACCAGGGAGCAGTGATAGAGAGATCAGCAATCAGCACTGCATACTCAAATCAAATCAAATGTTATTTGTCACATGCACCGAATACAACAGGTGTAGACCTTACCATGAAATGCTTACTTACAAGCCCTTAACCAGCAATGCAGTTCAAGAAATAGATTTAAGAAAATATTTACTAAATAAACGAAAGTAAAAAATAAAACAAAAAGCAACACAATAAAATAATAATAATGAGGCTATATACAGGGGGAACCAGTACCGAGTCAATGTGCGGGGGTACAGGTTAGTTGAGGTAATTTGTACATGTATGTAGGGGTAAAGTGACTATGCATAGATAATAAACAGCGAATAGCAGCAGTGTAAAAACAAAGGAGCGCCATGAGGTGCTACCACATGGCGCTCCGGTACCGCTTGCCATGTGGTAGCAGAGAGGTTGGTTGACTGGAGTCTTTGACAATTTTTTGGGCCTTCCTCTGACACCGCCTAGTATATAGGTCCTGGATGGCAGGAAGCTTGGCCCCAGTGATATACTGGGCCGTATGCACTACCCTCTGTAGCACCTTACGGACAGATGCCGAGCAGTTACCATACCAGGCGGTGATGCAACTGGTCAGGATGCTCTCGATGGTGCAGCTGTAGAACTTTTTGGGGGACCCATGCCAAATCTTTTCAGTTTGCTGAGGGGGAATAGGTTTTGTCGTTCCCTCTTCACGACTGTCTTGGTATGTTTGGACCATGATTGTTTGTTGGTGATGTGGACACCAAGGAACTTGAAACTCTCGACCCGCTCCACTACAGCCCTGTCGATGTGAATGGGGGCGTGTACTACTCTAAAGAACATGTGGTGTCTATTACAAAGCAAGTTAGTATATTTTGCACCACTTTTCTCCAAATATATGCTTGAAAATATGCAAAGTAGACTATCGTGTTGAGTTCAAAATCAGCACAAAACATTTTTTTTTTAAATCTTGATGAGATTGCCATTTTGCAATGTTGTAAACCCTCTTTTCATCTTATCGCAACTGCACCTTTGATGTAGGCCTGGATGACCACAAATAGCCACAACTCATACGAGTCTCATTGTTTGCCTCACGAGATGACGTTAATTTATTCCAACATGGTCAACAAGGACTAAACTCTTCCATGGTATGCAGCCTTCTGCTTGTTCAGGGACGAGCGAGAAAGAGAGAAAGAGAGAGAGAGAGAGAGAGAGAGAGAGAGAGATAGAGGGGAGAGGGAGAGGGAGAGGGAGGGAGGGAGAGGGAGGGAGGGAGGGAGGGAAAATACACAAAGCAGTTCTTCTCTGGCAATCCTAGCAATGGAAGCACTGTCATTTACAACTAAAATGAACAGGTAGACAGTGGATTAGAAAACAAACATTTTCCATTTTCCAATCCTGACAGCATCTTCCCTTTCTGATGTAGGCCTCTATAGTAGGCTTTTCACTGGCCTGGATATTCGGTGAATAATTGAGTGGATGGATGTTTGTTATCATCGAAAAGGTCTCCCTCCTCATTTTAAAATGTAAACTCCCAAACATTATTATGTTCTCAGTGCATCAATGGCAGATGGACTAACCCAGGGTTAGGTGTTTGGAGGGTGCAGCCTGTGTCAAAAAAAGCTATTTTCTTTCATTTATTTTTCAAAATGTAATGTCTATCAGGCAAATGTAATCATACATAGCATGTGTGCAACAGCAAAATATATTAGGCCAAATCATCACAACAATTGTGATTTTATATGGCTTCATTTTAAAACGTTGGGGAGGGGTGGGCACGCGCTCACGTGTGTGTGTGTGTACACGTGTGTGTGTCTACCATATTCCATGCAGCAAACATCCGTGCATATAATATACTGTTTATATTCTCAGTTCATTGTTCGTTGGAGTCAGTCCCTTTAGCCAAGTAGTGACATCTTATGCTGCTTTCTTGTATGTGTCTAAACAGGTGATGTGCCATACCTGACACCAGAATTAGCATTTGAAGGCAGCAAATGGGGAGTCGACAACATTGTGTTGGCTCTGTACAGTGGACTCTTTGCTTTTGGTGGCTGGTAAGGCCTTTGCAACACCACATAGGGCATGTTTACACCTGAGTCGTATTAGGTTCCAACATAGCAAAATGTTTCAAAGCCGTATGCAATGGAAAGTGTAAACAAGCACTTCTTATTGGACAATTTCAGATAGTTTGCTTCCGTTTGCTTCTATTTTGTGCCTAGTGAATACGACCCTGGAATTATCATATGACTTTCGTTAATCAAGATGATCTGATGAGGGTTCGATGCGTCTACACATGGTATTAAAAACATGTCTATTACAGTGACAACAGTGACAGCATGTGTTTTGACTGTCTACCTACACAATCAGAATGTGGACACAAACTGATCATAGGATGCTAGTTAGATAATATACACTGCTCAAAAAAATTTAAGGGAACACTAAAATAACACATCCTAGATCTGAATGAATGAAATAATCTTATTAAATACTTTTTTCTTTACATAGTTGAATGTGCTGACAACAAAATCACACAAAAATTATCAATGGAAATCAAATTTATCAACCCATGGAGGTCTGGATTTGGAGTCACCCTCAAAATTAAAGTGGAAAACCACACTACAGGCTGATCCAACTTTGATGTAATGTCCTTAAAACAAGTCAAAATGAGGCTCAGAAGTGTGTGTGGCCTCCACGTGCCTGTATGACCTCCCTACAACGCCTGGGCATGCTCCTGATGAGGTGGCGGATGGTCTCCTGAGGGATCTCCTCCCAGACCTGGACTAAAGCATCCGCCAACTCCTGGACAGTCTGTGGTGTGGATGGAGCGAGACATGATGTCCCAGATGTGCTCAATTGGATTCAGGTCTGGGGAACGGGCGGGCTAGTCCATAGCATCAATGCCTTCCTCTTGCAGGAACTGCTGACACACTCCAGCCACATGAGGTCTAGCATTGTCTTGCATTAGGAGGAACCCAGGGCCAACCACACCAGCATATGGTCTCACAAGGGGTCTGAGGATCTCATCTCGGTACCTAATGGCAGTCAGGGTACCTCTGGCGAGCACATGGAGGGCTGTGCGGCCCCCCAAAGAAATGCCACCCCACACCATGACTGACCCACCGCCAAACCGGTCATGCTGGAGGATGTTGCAGGCAGCAGAACGTTCTCCACAGCGTCTCCAGACTCTGTCACGTCTGTCACATGTGCTCAGTGTGAACCTGCTTTCATCCGTGAAGAGCACAGGGTGCCAGTGGCGAATTTGCCAATCTAGGTGTTCTCTGGCAAATGCCAAACGTCCTGCACAGTGTTGGGCTGTAAGCACAACCCCCACCTGTGGACGTCGGGCCCTCATACCACCCTCATGGAGTCTGTTTCTGACCGTTTGAGCAGACACATGCACATTTGTGGCTTGCTGGAGGTCATTTTGCAGGGCTCTGGCAGTGCTCCTCCTTGTACAAAGGCGGAGGTAGCAGTCCTGCTGCTGGGTTGTTGCCCTCCTACGGCCTCCTCCATGTCTCCTGATGTACTGGCCTGTCTCCTGGTAGCGCCTCCATGCTCTGGACACTACGCTGACAGACACAGCAAACCTTGCCACAGCTTGCATTGATGTGCCATCCTGGTTGAGCTGCACTACCTGAGCCACGTGTGTGGGTTGTAGACTCCGTCTCATGCTACCACTAGAGTGAAAGCACCGCCAGCATTCAAAAGTGACCAAAACATCAACCAGGAAGCATAGGAACTGAGAAGTGGTCTGTGGTCACCACCTGCAAAACCAGTCCTTTATTGGGGGTGTCTTGCTAATTGCCTATAATTTCCACCTGTTGTCTATTCCATTTGCACAACAGCATGTGACATTTATTGTCAATCAGTGTTGCTTCCTAAGTGGACAGTTTGATTGACTTGGAGTTACATTGTGTTGTTTAAGTGTTCCCTTTATTATTTTGAGCAGTGTAGATATAATTCCAGTGTGTAGCCTATAGAAGGTTGATGCTATGCTACTAATCTAAACGTATCTAATATTAGATGCTGTAATGTATAATATGTTGGAATATAAAGGATCATGTTCTGTTTCCTCTCCTTTAGGAATTACCTGAATTACGTGACAGAGGAAATGATAAATCCAGAGAGGTGACTTATGTGTGATGAAGGTTTTGTTGATGATTGTACAGAGTTACCACAACTACCCTGTAAATATGTCTATCATTATGTGTATGATTCTCCTCTTACATTTTGATTGGACTTAATTGCACTTGATTGACTGTATGGAGGTGAGAAGCATGGGCTGAACCATGGGACATTTTAGATAGCAAGACAAATCACAGTACTACTAATCTAATATACAGTATTTATCAAATATCACACTCTTATAATGTAATAGTATAATCACATTGAATACAGTCATGAAATTGCATGAAATTAAAAACAAATATTAGATCAAGTCACACAGTTGACTCTGATAACCTCAAATTTGATTGGCTGACACATTATGAGAGCCCCCAATGACATGATCTTTAACTGATGACCTTGGTTCCAGAAACCTGCCCCTGTCCATCATTATCTCCATGCCCATTGTGACCGTGGTGTACGTACTGACCAACCTGGCCTACTTCACCACTATCCCCCCGAGTGTGATGGTTGAGTCCGAGGCAGTAGCTGTGGTAAGGATGGCTTTATTAAAGATCACGTTTTGGAGCAGGAAAACAGTGAGCTCATATTAGCTTAGTTCCTGCCATTTATTTTGCTAACAAAAAGGTAACAGGGGACAACATAATAATAGTAAAGATAATACATTGAGAGGTTGAATTGGAATTAGAGTATTCAATGGTAGTGCTTTCCCATTGTAGATCTTTGGGGAATACCATCTTGGTGTGATGTCCTGGCTCATCCCTGTCTTTGTGGGCCTGTCCTGCTTCGGAGCTGTCAACGGAAGCCTGTTCACCTCTGCACGGTCTGTATCTAATCAAACACACAGATAACTTGACAAAGAGTGTGTGTAGTGTGTGTATCTGTGTGTTTTTATTTCAGTCCTTTGATACTTTAATGAAAGCCTAGAGATTGTATCAAAATGCTGCACAACTGCACAACACTCAATCATCAGGGTTCGTCTGCCTCTTCTCATAGGCTGTTTTATGCTGGCGCTCGAGAGGGTCAGCTCCCTGCTGCACTGGGATTGGTCCACACTGACCTCTTCACCCCAGTGCCCTCTCTAATTTTCACAGTGAGTACTGCCATTGGTCCCTGAATTGGTCTCAAATGTAATGCCATCCTTGGTTAGACAGAATTTTACATTTGAGAACCCAGAATTGGGAAAGGCTATAATCATAGTCATCAACTCAAGTCAATCTGGCACAGATAATTAGTTTGTGGATACAGTGCATTCGGAAAGTATTCAGACCCCTTGACCTTTTCCACATTTTGTTACTTTACAGCCTTATTCTAAAATTGATTAAATAATTTTTTTCCCTCGTCAATCTACACACAATACCCCATAATGACTAACAGAAAAACAGAAAATAAAAAATAAACAGAAATACCTTATTTACATAAGTATTCAGACCCTTTGCTATGAGACTCGAAATTGAGCTCAGGTGCATCCTGTTTTCATTGATCATCCTTGAGATGTTTCTACAACAGACTTAATTAAATTGATTTGACATGAATTGGAAAGGCACACACTTGTCTATATAAGGTTCTACAGTTGACAGTGCATGTCAGAGCAAAAACCAAGCCATGAGGTCGAAGGAATTGTCCGTAGAGCTGCGAGTCAGGATTGTGTCAAGACCCAGATCTGGGGAAGGGTACCAAAACATATCTGCAGCATTGAAGGTCCCCAAGAACACAGTGGCCTCCATTACATTTACATTTTAGTCATTTAGCAGACGCTCTTATCCAGAGCGATTTACAGTTAGTGAGTGCATACAGTTTTCATACTGGCCCCCCGTGGGAAAGGAACCAACAACCCTGGCGTTGCAAGCACCATGCTCTACCAACTGAGCTACAGGGGACTTAAATGGAAGAAGATTGGAATCACCAAGACTCTTCCTAGAGCTGGCCGCCCGGCCAAACTGACAACCATCTCTGCAGCACTCCACCAATCAGGCCTTTATGGTAGAGTGGCCAGATGGAAGCCACTCCTCAGTAAAAGGCACATGACAGCCCGCTTGGAGTTTGCCAAAAGGCACCTAAAGACTCTCAGACCATGAGAAACAAGATTCTCTGGTCTGATGAAACCAAGATTGAAGTTTTTGGCCTATGGTGAAGCATGGTGGTGGCAGCATCATGCTGTGGGGGTGTTTTTCAGCAGCAGGGACTGGGAGACTAGTCAGGATTGAGGAAAAGATGAACGGAGCAAAGTACAGAGAGATCCTTGATGAAAACCTGCTCCAGAGCACTCAGGACCTCAGACTGGGGCGAAGGTTTACCTTCCAACAGGACAACGACCCTAAGAACACAGCCAAGACAATGCAGGAGTGGCTTCGGGACAAGTCTCTGAATGTCCTTGAGTGGCCAAGCCAGAGCCTGGACTTAATAGCTGTGCAGGGACGCTACCCATCCAACCTGACAGAGGTTGAGAGGATCTGCAGAGAAGAATGGGAGAAACTCCCCAAATATAGGTGTGCCAAGCTTGTAGCGTCATACCCAAGAAAACTCGAGGCTGTAATCGCTGCCAAAGGTGCTTCAACAAAGTACTGAGTAAAGGGTCTGAATACTTATGTCATATTTCAGTTTTTTATTTTTAATACATTTGCTAACATTTCTAAAAACCTGTTTTTGCTTTGTCATTATGGGGTATTGTGTGTAGATTGATGAGGGGGGAAAAAACAATTTTAATCAATTTTAGAATAAGGCTGTAACGTAACAAAATGTGGAAAAAGTCAAGGGGTCTGAATACTTTCTGAATGCGCTGTACATCTAAACATCTTACATAGCAACAGAATAGCAGTTATTCCCATTGCAATATATATTTTTTATCATCATCAAAGTGGAACATTTACAGCATTTAATGGTAACCTTTCACTGAAAAAAAGTTGGGTGTGGAGTAAACGTTTAAAGTAAACGCTAATTTATAGTCTACGTACTTATTCAGCAGGAGAACACCAATTAGCTATCACAAAATGAGACTATGAATTAGGCTTAATACATGAGCCCAATGTCTATATGATTCCTCTCCCTGCAGTGTTTCCTGTCCATGCTTTACGCCCTGTCCAAGGACATCTTCTCGGTCATCAACCTGTTCAGCTTCTTTACCTGGCTGTGTGTGGGCATGGCCATCGCCGGCTTGCTGTGGCTCCGCTGGACCAAGCCAGAGCTCAGGAGGCCCATCAAGGTACTGTTACTGTACACAGCCCTATGAGCACAAGACATTGAAAAGACATTGGAAAAATATATAGGATACGGTAGAAAGAGTATGTGGCTTTTTCTGTAGCCTACAGGCTGGAGATCAAATGTATGACAATGTAATGAGATGGACACTTTTTACATCATGCAGGTTTCTTCGATCAGCCTAACCTAAATGGCGCTCAATCAAATAAAACATGTGCTGTCATGTTAACAAACAACATATCCTAAAAACAGGACAGGTCAAAGTAAAATGGACAATATGTAATGAACAATCACAGCTGTTGTCCAGGAGTTTCAGCTCATTGTCATGATCAGTGGTTTCAAGTTTGGATCTGTCAATTTTTGACAAGCTGATCATAGTGAAAAAGAAAATTACTTCTGCATTTCCCGCTGTGTAACCACACTGTAAATAGGCTTGCGATAACTCCTGATAAAGTTGGGTAGCTGATATTCAGAGCTTAAATAGCCAAATTGATTAGTCACAGGCATCAGGACTAAAAAAGCCAATGCAATGGCATGTTTTACAAACGGTGGGCCTACCACATGGATGGGCATTCATAAAATTCCATTGTGGCCGACATGGTAAGTCACTCTGGATAAGAGCGTCTGCTAAATGATGTAAATGTAAATGTAAATGGTAGGCTAAACCCCAGTAAGCACGAGCCGACGTCTTTTGGGCATCTTTTGTTGGTCCTGTCCGGATGTCGTTTTTTGGTGTTTTACAAACGGTAGGCTTACCACATAGATGGGCATTCATGAAATAAAATTTCAGGCAACACTGTAGGCTACACCTCAGTAAGCACGGCCGACGCACGGCCAACGCCTTTTGGACATGTTTTTTTTGTGCAGTTCAGGACTGGCCTTGATTTCCACATACATTGGTTTTTGGTCCGGTCCGAACCAAATCTGAACCAATCATAGATGTCTATGTTTGGTTCTAATTTTGTCCGGTCTGGACCAGCCTTGATTTGACCCAAACATAGACGTCTGCAAATGAATTATTTTCAACTTTCATTCAGAACCAACAATTAGCTTGATTTCATCGTCCTGGAAAATATGTATTTCTTAACATACGGAAAAAACCTTTTCACCTTTAATTCAGAACCTAAATTGAACCTAACTTCAACGTCTGTAAAATTCGTATTTTAGACGTATTTTCAACGAAATTTTGCTTATTGGGACTATTTTAGTTTTGTGGGGGGGCCATTTTTTGGTCTCGCCTATGGCGACAGAACGGCCCTACTCAATTAAAATATGTTCCCGGAGGAAGTCGAAAATAAATTTTTCCATCCGCAGCACAATAGCATGTTTTAAGTGATATGAAGCTTATTTTTGTTTCATCCAGTAACCGTTGGGTTTGTGTACATGAATCTTATCTTATTTTCCATGGCAGATTTGGTTGGTGGTCCCTGTGGTGTTTGTGCTGGGCTGTGTCTTCATGATCGTGGTGTCCTTCTGGGCAGCTCCCTTTGAGTGCCTGATAGGCAGTGGGATCATCCTTACTGGTATCCCCGCCTATCTCCTGGGGTATAAGTGGAAGAAGCCCCACGTTGTAAAGAAGATCCTAGGTGAGCTGGCTATGCACATAACTCTATATGTATGTACAGTACTGGGAAGTCAAGGCTGGAGATATTTGTGACCGTTTTTTTTCTTTTTTTTGCATATAGCATTTGTGTTTTTGCACATAGTAACAAGCTGTTTTGTGTCTAAGGTTAATATCCAGTCAAATAGATTTGTATTACGTTTTTACTCAAATGCAAAGTTTGCATGTTTACCCCCAAATGAAATTTAACATACAGAGTAAATAAGGGTTTAAAAGAAAAACAATCGTACAGGTTAAGGTGATTTCAAATAGTCACACTTACACGTTTCTACATGTAATCTTTCCATTCCTGCAAATTAAATGTGGCCTTCAGAGTGTTAGACTACCAAAATGGGTGTTTTCTATTTTCAGAGATCTTTACTCTGTTCTGCCAGAAGATTTTTATGTCCGTTCCAGAAGAACGTGAAGAGATGGAGTCAGCCGAAGTAGCTGAAGAAGTCGAAACAACAAAGGATGACTGAGTCAATGTTGTAGTTGGAACATTACATGTTTACCCTCATTGTTGATTTTGTTACAGAGTTCTATGACTCTTGGTAAAGTAGGGGTTTATTCAAATTGCTTCGGTGTACATATTTTCTATTTTACATGAATTTTCTTACTGTATTGTCTCTTTTTACTCTCTCCAGCAATTCAATTCCAGTAATTCCACTTTCCAGTCATATTTTGCTTTCACACTTTTTCAAATGTGACCTAACCTAACCTTTTTTTTACGTTTCATATGTTTTAACCTATTTTGCACAGTATTCAATAGGCCTGAATTAAGCTAACAAAAAGAGGAAAATCTATTTCTATCAACAAAGTCATATTTCCATCAAGTGTTGATATGTTCTCTAGACAATCATCCAAACATCTTTGATAATGCATACAATACCGTGTGCTTCGTCTTAATGGTCTTCATCTAACTAAAGATAATTACATATTTGACTTTTGAATTATATAATTATTAACCCCCACTTTAACTGAAGGTATGTATTTAACACAGTGTAGTTGCAGGAACTAGCTACTGGTTACTTAATGTGATTGCACAATGGCCATCAATCTATGAGAAACCCATTAATTTATTCAGGTAACTCATACAACACATTCTGTAAACTACCTTAATTTTGGAGTGTAATGTTCCTTTAACATTATTGCACTCATGATAACAATTTACAATTTTAATTTTAACATCTATTTATTTATACACTGTATTGCTACAAGCAGTTTAAATCCGTTGTTTGGAACACATAGTTATTTCCCATTCTCAAATTCACTTTGAAACATTTTCAAATCATTAACAAATTTATTCGACAGATTACTATTTGAAGCACATTTGTGCAAAGTAGATTTCTGATGTGATTTCTGTTCTGATGTGTTGCCTTAAGATTGTTGTCACACAAGTCAGTTGCTTGTATTGATACCCAATGCCATGTATACCTCTCAGTTCCTACGTCAAACCATGCCTTTACGATATCTTCGTAAACATTGTTTTATGTCATTCGATACCAGCAGTTATGAATATGGCACTAAGCCTGTCAATTTTCTTTGTCTCAACTTGCTACCGGTTTCCATACATTTTAAACCATTATATTCGGCGAATACATTTGATAAATGTTTTTTATTTTTATTTGTACAGATACCTTGCAGGAAATGCAGCTTTCCCTACCCCAGTCCAAACCTTCTCTGACCCCGAGCCAGACCAGTTCAAGCCAAAAAACTAAGAAAAACAAAAAACACCTAAGGGCTCTATACAATCCATATCGCTGAAGTGTGACAGATTTCGCATTAGAAATGTGAAGGTAATTTCTGATTAAGCCGACATATGCAGCGTTTACCGTGAATGCCATCTCTGCCAACGTGGGAATATTGCCTTTAAATGTTTGTTGGGCGTTAGCACTACATTTCCACGATATGGATGGACTAGAGCCCTAAATGAAATTCTGGAGGGTCTTTAGCACAAAATATTAGCACAAACATGTACATGTTACTGAATTAGGGACACAATGCAGTATAGAATGTTAACTGCTCCTATTATTATAAAATATGGAGAAACTGTCAGGGTACCTTCATATTTTTGTGGCCCAAAATGTACCGCGCAACATAGTTCAGGTGTGTACAAAGTCTTGCCTATTATGTACGGTAAAGCCTTTGGTTGTATTGAATGTTATGGTAAAAAACGTGTTTGTAATTTGAAATCGGAAGAAACAATTGTACCTCTGTCAGCTATTGTAATTTAAATGTCAGTGACCATGGCGGGTAGGGTACGTACATGTACCATTAAACTATTTTTGTTCAAAAGGCCTGTGTCTTTGTTGTGAAATTAATAAACTCATTTTTCTTTCACATATTTCACACATTTTATTGTATTATCATGCTAATTTTTAAAGCCTATCTAGGGAGTGATGCTGGAAATAACTGCAAGCTAAAGCATGATGGTGCAATGCATTGAATGTGTCAACAACTTTATAGCATTTGTCTTGTTCAAATAAATAAGGATTTGTATTATTATGCACAACTTTCATGGGAAACCAAGTCAGCTATTGCAAAGCTCAGCAGCATACAAACATTCCCTGAGCATAAGGGACCATTAAATGACATTTCAGTCATTTAGCAGACACTCTTATCCAGAGTGACTTACAGGAGCAATTAGGGTTAAGTGCCTTGCTCAAGGGCACATCAACAGATTTTTCACCTAGTAGGCTCAGGGATTAGAACCAGCAACCTTTCGGTTACTGGCACAACGCTCTTAACCACTAAGCTACCTGCCGCCCACACTAAAATAATTTTTAAAAAGCATGGCACAACAAGATAACATATCTCCAAACAACAAAATTGGCTATATGAGGGTCTCGGAAAACAACCACGATACCCAGTATTCCATGACCATCATCTGATATGAAGTGTTTGGATAATATTAGTCTAGACTCTATGTAATATGCTCCCTTTTGCTATTGTTTCTGTGTTGATTTCCAAAGCTAGTATCTAAGGCATGGTGCAATGAACTCTATGTTCATTGATTCCCAAACGGTGATAAGATTGAGGCATGTTCTGGGAGAGGAGTTCATATCCGCTAGGAAAGGAAATGAGGATGCTGCCTCTGTGATTTGAAGCCAGTCGCAGATCCACTGAGGATCATATTAAAGATGGTAGATTGTCTTGGTTCATAGATTTGGATAGTGGGCCCACTTGCTACAAAGCCTGTTTTAGCATGGCCTGAGGCATTGAGGACTTTTACCATTTTGAATTAGTCAAATGGGTGGGACTTCCTATGGGTTAAGGAAGGATACCATAATTCCAACCTCCTGAGGAAACATTTGATAACTGCAGGTGGCAGTAAATCACCATATCTGGGCTTCATGTCTGTTCAGACAACACACTCCAGGTGGTGGTATGCACCCTTGATTACTGACTGTCAATAAACTTATGGAAGTAGAAGAAGAAGAAATGTGCTACTTTAAAATAGATATTGTCCTCAATGGCACTGCTCATGATGTCACGGATGCCATTATGGCAAAGATGCAAAGGTGTGGCCTTTCCAACTCTATGGCCTGGAAATACAGCTATGCATGGCGCGACGCCTTTCGACCAAAGGTCTTCCTCAGGCAGCATTGAGATGGAAGGTTAATGTGTCACTAAAATCGAGGTGGAGCTTAGGTGGAACGTCAACATTAGATGATAGCAATAACAATATCTACACAATGTGTAATACAAATAAATTATATAAAGATAAAGTGCTTGGGTAAATGTATGTTCGGCATAAAGATCAAAGAAAATAAAGACAGGACTGTCGAAATTGAGAGTGAATTTGTTCCATCAGTCCTCATTACAGAGGGACTGTTTATAACTTTCACTTTTAACATGATACACAACTGGAATTTTTCTCCTGACAAATACCAACAGACCAAACAATTACCAAGAGATACTTTACCATCCAAACGGTAAATTCCAAGTGCAGCTGTTAAAAGTGAAAGTTAAAAGTTTACTACCTGTAGTCTAGTTTCTGGGTGATCTACGATGGCGACACCTGCTCCTGTCCCTGAGCTGCTGCTGGCCACTCTGGATGGCTTGGTCTCAGATTACCTGAAGAGATTTCAGTGGCACCTGACTATGAACGTGTTAGATGGCTTGTCTCCCATTCCTAAGAGCTGTCTGGAGAATGCTGACAGGCAAGATACTGTGGAGAAGATGGTAAACACCTATAGCCATGAAGGAGCTGTGAAGATCTCACTGGAGATCCTGAGGAAGATCAACCAGAATGATCTCGCTATGAAGTTAGAGAGAGAGACACTCTAGGAGAGGATCTGGCACTAAAAAAGACTGCATTTGATCAAAAAGAAGAACTTTAATACAACTTAGAGAGTCTTTGAAAGAATCAAGAAAACTACTAAAGCATGGAGGTCCACATTAAGAAGCAATGTGTGGACATAGCGAGGCAGATGAGGGAGTAGTTTGAGAAGTTCCACCAGTTCCTTAGAGAGGAAAAGGAGGCCAGACTGGCTGCGCTGAGGCAGGAAGAACAGCAGAGGAGAAAGAATATTGCCAGAGAGATGGAGAGAATTCAGGAGCAGATCTCCTCTCTGGAACAAGACCTGTAGAAAGACGACCTTACATTACTCATGAGCTACAAACACACCCAGAACAACACACTCCCGGGTCCACAGCTAGTATCAGGAGCGCTTATCGAAGTGGCCAAACCCCTGGGAAACCAGCAGTTCAGAGTCTGGGAGAAGATGAAGATGGTCCAATACACTCCTGTGATTCTAAACCCCAACACTGCAAACCTCTGTGTCTGATGATCTGACCAGTGTGAGATTTGAGTGTAGCTGGACTTCACCAGTGGGGAGGTGTCCTTTTACGACCCCAAAGATATGACACATATCTACAATCACAAAGACACGTTTACTGAGAGACCGTACCCATACTTCCTTGTTGGACTGGCTGTTGATGACAAAAACCATGATATACAGTGGGGGAAAAAAGTATTTAGTCAGCCACCAATTGTGCAAGTTCTCCCACTTAAAAAGATGAGAGGCCTGTAATTTTCATCATAGGTACACGTCAACTATGACAGACAAAATGAAAAAAAAAATCCAGAAAATCACATTGTAGGATTTTTTATGAATTTATTTGCAAATTATGGTGGAAAATAAGTATTTGGTCAATAACAAAAGTTTTTCAATACTTTGTTATATACCCTTTGTTGGCAATGACACAGGTCAAACGTTTTCTGTAAGTCTTCACAAGGTTTTCACACACTGTTGCTGGTATTTTGGCCCATTCCTCCATGGAGATCTCCTCTAGAGCAGTGATGTTTTGGGGCTGTCGCTGGGCAACACAGACTTTCTATGGGGTTGAGATCTGGAGACTGGCTAGGCCACTCCAGGACCTTGAAATGCTTCTTACGAAGCCACTCCTTTGTTGCCCGGGCGGTGTGTTTGGGATCATTGTCATGCTGAAAGACCCAGCCACGTTTCATCTTCAATTCCCTTGCTGATGGAAGGAGGTTTTCACTCAAAATCTCACGATACATGGCCCAATTCATTCTTTCCTTTACACGGATCAGTCGTCCTGGTCCCTTTGCAGAAAAACAGCCCCAAAGCATGATGTTTCCACCCCCATGCTTCACAGTAGGTATGGTGTTCTTTGGATGCAACTCAGCATTATTTGTCCTCCAAACACGACGAGTTGAGTTTTTACTAAAAAGTTATATTTTGGTTTCATCTGACCATATGACATTCTCCCAATCCTCTTCTGGATCATCCAAATGCACTCTAGCAAACTTCAGACGGGCCTGGACATGTACTGGCTTAAGCAGGGGGACACGTCTGGCACTGCAGGATTTGAGTCCCTGGCGGCGTAGTGTGTTACTGATGGTAGGCTTTGTTACTTTGGTCCCAGCTCTCTGCAGGTCATTCACTAGGTCCCCCCGTGTGGTTCTGGGATTTTTGCTCACCATTCTTGTGATCATTTTGACCCCACGGGGTGAGATCTTGCGTGGAGCCCCAGATCGAGGGAGATTATCAGTGGTCTTGTATGTCTTCCATTTCCTAGTAATTGCTCCCACAGTTGATTTCTTCAAACCAAGCTGCTTACCTATTGCAGATTCAGTCTTCCCAGCCTGGTGCAGGTCTACAATTTTGTTTCTGGTGTCCTTTGACAGCTCTTTGGTCTTGGCCATAGTGGAGTTTGGAGTGTGACTGTTTGAGGTTGTGGACAGGTGTCTTTTATACTGATAACAAGTTCAAACAGGTGCCATTAATACAGGTAACAAGTGGAGGACAGAGGAGCCTCTTAAAGAAGAAGTTACAGGTCTGTGAGAGCCAGAAATCTTACTTGTTTTTTAGGTGACCAAATACTTATTTTCCACCATAATTTGCAAATAAATTCATTAAAAATCCTACAATGTGATTTTCTGGATTTTCTTTCTTCTCAATTTGTCTGTCATAGTTGACGTGTACCTATGATGAAAATTACAGGCCTCTCTCATCTTTTTAAGTGGGAGAACTTGCACAATTGGTGGCTGACTAAATACTTTTTTTCCCCACTGTAGATTGCAAAATAGTTTGGAAGCGATTTTTGACGTACCGATTTCATGGCATAGTGTTTATGAATTGATATGCAAAATGACACCGGATTCAAAACTTAGAATTTTTCAATTTAAATTATTATATAAAATTCTTGCTACCAATAGAATGTTATTTATATGGGGGATACAGAATCATTAGATCGTTTGTTTTGGTACTGTCCGTTTGTAGCTTGTTTTTGGACACAGGTCCAGGAATGGCTGAAGGATTGCAATATTTACCTGGAGCTAACCCTGCAGATAGCACTACTGGGTGATCTGAAAAGTCATAGGTTATAGGTTGAGAGCTTTTGTGAAAGAGCACAGTTAGAAAAATATGGCATATAGAAGCAAACCAGATGGACATCATGAAAATGATCGGAGGAAGTTCAGGAGTAAAAACAAACAAAATATAATTATTGTAGAATTTGACTGTGTCCATAAAATGTATATAGTATGTATGGGCTGGAAGTAGAGGCCTAAGCGTTGTTGTTCACTAGTTTACTCCAATTGGGTAATTGATGGTGGGGTTGGAAAGTAATGAAGGGAAATATAATTTAAAAAAGGAAAACATTTAAAAGATTTAAAAAATAATAATAGTAAAAAAAGATTATTTCATTTAAAATCATCATCCCAAATGGTCATTTTTTCTGTATAAGATTCTAGCTGTTGAATTTTTTTTTTATAAATGTAAAATAATGTTTAGCTAATCCCTCTGTATGAGAAATGTGATGTTAACAGTTCTGATGTGAATATGGCACTAAAGTTGACACTTAAGTATAACAAATGGAAGGCAATCAAATCAAATCAAATGGAAGGTCAAATCAGTGAACTTCAGGAAATAGTAAGCATCATTGTGCATTTGTGTTTTCTTCTATGATCTTTAAATTAGCCAAAGAGTCAGAAATTAACAGATTAATTCTCATTATTTTTTGCCAATGCCTTATGTTGTTATTTATTGGCATTATGGCAATATGTTATTGATTATAATGTGCTTGTGCACAACCTTATCAAACCACTTTTAATCTAGGGTATGGAAACAAGGGCAATGGAGATTGTAAGTGTACATGGCCATTAAGGCCAGATCATACTTAGATGACCAGCAGGGTCAAATAATAATCACAGTGGTTATAGAGGGTGCAACAGGTCAGAACCTAAGGAGTAAATGGCCGAGCATTCAGAGGCCGAGACAGCAGGTGCGGTAGAGAGACAGAGAGAGAGAGAGAGAGGGAGAGGGAGAGGGAGAGGGAGAGGGAGAGGGAGAGGGAGAGGGAGAGGGAGAGGGAGAGGGAGAGGGAGAGGGATAGGGAGAATTAGAGGGAGCATACCTAAGATCACACAGGACACCAGATAAGACAGAATAATTATACCAGATATAACAGACTGACCATAGCCCCCGGCACATAGACTATTGCAGCATAGATACTGGGGACTGAGACAGTGGGAGTAGGTGGAAAACTTATTCTTCTTCTTCTTCTTCTTCTTCTAATTCTTCTTCTTCTTCTTCATCACCATGATCATCATCATTATGAACATCACGTGAAGAAACACATAAGTTCATCAGAGGTGGATCCCTGCTGATCATAGCACTTGTAACGTTTTCAAATGTGTTTTTCTTCCTGTAATGTAATAAATCAACTAGTCACCTGAAGTAGTTGCTCCATTCCCCCCTTCTGTCAGACCCAACAACAACCTTCTAATGACTAGGTTTATCAGCCAGGTTACTGATTAAGTATGAAAATAAATGTGTGTGTGTGTGTGTGTGTGTGCGCGCCCGTGCATACGTGTGTGTGTGTGAGAGAGAGAGAGAAAGAGAGCGAGAGAGAGAGAGAGAGAGGGACATGTATGGTGCCCACTCAACAATCCACATCCATAAACGTGCCATGAGAAGGAAATAGATATGATCCTGTTGTTTTGTACATTGATAAATGTCTACGGGAATAGCTACCCAATAAACAAATCAGCATTAGTTAATAATTGTTGCTTCCTTGTGGCCAGGTGTATAAAAGTTATCCTCTTTCTCCAGCTGAACAGAACCAACAGCTGATTACCTGAACAGAACCTAGAAACTACCTGTGATTCACTCTGAAAGGTATATTATTGGTCTACAACTACTCGTCTGAACTACTCACTGAACTTGTCTTTGCCGCCTGTCTCTGTCTCACTCGATTTCTCCCTCTCCCTCTGTATTTCTCTCTCTTGCTCTGTCTCTCTCGCTCTGTCTCTCTCTTGCTCTCTCTCTCTCTCTCTGTCTCTCTCTCTCTCTCTCTCTCTCTCTCTCTCTCTCTCTTTCAGGTGACTATTACCATGGTGATGTTGTTGACCATCCTTCTGCTTCTGTGTGCTGCCATTGCTCCGGGTGACACAAGTGAGACGCCTCACACTTTGCATCACTTTACATGATTGATTAATTGTGTGTGTGTGTGTGTGTGTGTGTGATTCGTTGTGTGTGAATTGACCTCTTCACTGAATTCGCTAATACTCCATCATCATCATTATTGATACGATATCTCCCTGTTACAGAGCCCTTACTGCAGACTAACCTTGAACAGATTCCTCCTCTGGGTGAGTGTTTTATCTAACAGTAAGGCTGGGATTCAATCCAAGGTGTGTTATAGAGCAGCGCACTGGACAGCTGTCAACATGCCTTTTCGAGGTAATTTACGCTTGAGCTGACATTCGCAGCATTTACAATGACTGCGATCTCTGTGAATGTCGGCTGTCAGTGCGCTTCTCTGTAATGGGCCTTGGATTGAATCCGAGCCTAAGAAGAAGTCTGTCCCAGCCAGGCTATGTAACCTATGATGAGGTGTGGTGTTTGTATTGAGTGATGTCACACTTCCTGCGTCTTTCCTCCCTACAGAGGCTGAGGAGGTGGAGACACAGAGCAGGTCATGTCCTTCCGGCTGGACCAGATACGGATCCCGCTGCTTCATGTTTGTCAGTACGCAGAGGACATGGCTTGAGGCAGAGGTACACCGATATGTTGAAGCACGTCTTCCACTCGGAAAGATTCCATTGTCTACTCTATATTGAGTCTAAAATATATACAGTTTTGTAACAAACTCACTTGTTGGTACTGACTCTCTCTCTCACCCCTCCTATAGCGATACTGTGTGCACTTTGGGGCGAACCTTGCGTCCGTACACAGTTCAGCAGAGCATCACTTTGTGCAAGAGTTGGTGAGACGACATACGAATGATTTAACCTATGCTTGGATCGGAGGATTTGACCATGTTCAGGTACAGTGCTCGTGAATTACGTCACACCTTGCTATACAGTAGGTTTGGGAATACTTAGAACAGAGCCACTAAGGCCCCGTACACACTCAGGTTGTACAACTGATGTACAACACATTTGACACAATGGTTGTGATACATCTGATATTTTTGTGATACAATATAGAGTTTGTATGTACAGAAACATTTACACAACCATTGTTTGGTGTATCCACAAAGCTTGTGTAATTGTTTCCAAAAAACTCTTTGTTGTATCACAACCGTTGCCAAATGCATTGTACATCAGTTGTACAACTTGAGTGTGTACGGAGCCTAATTGTGTGGCTTTAAAGAGATTTGCATGTGCTCTGGTTGAATAAATGAAATGTTTCCTACAGAACCGGGTGTGGCTTTGGAGTGACGGGTCTAGATTGGATTACACTAGCTGGCACACAGGAGAACCCAACAATTACAATGGCAAGAGGGAGCCTTGTCTGATGATGAACTGGGGAGGTACAGTAAACTTACTATCATCTGATCCTAATCACTCACCTCACCTTCAAATTCAATTAATTTCAATTGGAGAGGTGATTTTTTATCCTTGTTTCCCGTATAGGCGAGAAACGCTGGAATGATGCAAAATTGTGGAAACAAATATTATTCTGTGTGTGTTAAAAGAATCTGTTAATAAATCCTGAGAAACTTCAACTGGAATGAAAAATGAAACTTTATGTAGTCCATATCCCTGATACTGTATCGTAAACATGTTTTCACTCAGTGCTCTTCAGAATCTTTCTACAGCATCACTGCTGTTGTCTGAACTACGTGATGATTCATGACTGAAATGAAATGTAAATATATTTTTCTTTCATCATTAGTATTTCCCTAATGTTGCCTTTAATGCAAAATGTAATTGATGTCACTGCTAATAAATGCATGATATTTCATGCTTTCCTCATTCTATTTTATACAGACATTTTGTCAGACAAGATTAAAGGGATAGTTCAGCGATTTTCCATATTTAGATATTTGTTGCCTTACCTTGAAAGCAGTCTATGGACAAGGAGTGACTGCAATCCACACTTCGGTCTCTGAAAAAAGTCACAACATTAGCATTTTGGGATGAATTCCTCATGACATTGAATTGTCCCCGTTTAGGATTCGGACACATTCATTTTACAGCAGAGTTATTGTTTAAAAACATGTTCCACGCTAACACTAGAGGGCACTATATTATCATATTTTGCAGGCAGTGTGAGTGAGTGAGTGAGTGAGTGAGTGAGTGAGTGAGTGAACGAGCGAGAGAGAGAGAGCGAGAGCGAGAGCGAGAGCGAGAGCGAGAGAGAGAGAGAGAGAGAGAGAGAGAGAGAGAGAAAGAAAGAAAGAAACAAAGAAGGAAAGAAAGAAAGAAAGAAAGAAAGAAAGAAAGAAAGAAAGAGAGTGAGCGAGAAGAGGGGAGGGTTGATAGATTCCATTTATTTTCTACCTCTAATCCAACTGTGAAATTCATGTGTTTTTTAAACATTCTTTCCAGGTAGGCCTAGCAGTACCGCTCACACTGCATTAACTCTCATAGTCTTCTCATCTTCATAGTCTAACCTGATGAAAATGAAAATATGCTGTGTGAACAAAGATGTCTACATTGGTTCAGACAATCAGAAGCTACATAACTGATATACAGTATGCTCATAAAACTGTACAGGATTGGTGTACTGTAAGAATTGGTTGGAAGAAGTTTCCAGCATTGTAAAATCCTTGAGAGAAAGTGTGTAAATGCACACTTTTCAAGAAGGGTGAAGAATTTGGATGCCTATTACGTGAGGCAGCCAAGCCTTGAGAGGAAGTAGCCTTCCACTCGCTAGCCTCACCATATAAACGTGATAAACCCACTAAGAACAAGTCAAGATAAACAGAGACACAGAGTTTATTTTCCACTTACATTTTATTACTGACAAAAGAAAACAAAAGAAGCATCGCCACACAAAATGAACCAAATGCTGGAAAAAAGCCAATGCACCAGAAACAAGTGATGTACAAATAATAATTATTCAAATTACCATGGAATTTAATAATAATAATAATGCACCCTGATGAAAACAAGCCAAAACGTTACTTCATATCATTCATAAATAGATGTGAAACCAGTCAACCGAATTAAATAGAATGACCATATTGCGAAACATGTTAATCAACAAAACAAAATGGGTTCTTTCATTGCTGGCTTTACAATTAAAATAAGTACATTTCGCAGGTTTGTACACAAATGAAATATCTACCGGTGACCATTCCTTAGAAACTTAAATTGTGCTACAGTGAAAAACAAAATTTTAAAGAATTAAATGCATTATAATATTATTTTTATCTTCACAAAAAATTATAAACATGAATTCAACACAATTTCTAAAACACCTAATAAAACTAGTCAAAAACTTTAAAACCCACTTTTATGCTTTTATCTTTAGCAACATTTCACATTTAGCAACTATTTTTTTTATTCACCTATACAAGTGGCGCTGGGGAGTGGGGGTGGTGTGGTCCGCTGGACCAGGAGAGGTTTAAACTAAGGGAGAGGTTTCACCTTTGACCTCTTCAGTCCAGTCACATCCTGAGGACAGTGCAGAGGGTGTCCAAAATGGCTCCCTATTCCCAACAGTCTTTGTATTTCTCTCTCCATTAGAGAGAAGCTAGCCTGGTTCCAGATCTGTTTGTGATGTCTTGCCAACTCCTATGGTTATTGTCACCATAGCAGTTGCAAAGGCAGCACAAACAGATCTGGGACCGGGCTAGAAAGTAGCATGACCAGTGAACAGAGCTTTAACACAGGATTTAGTGTGTGTATTCCATCACTGAATCCAGCCCGCACAAAAATCACATAACTAAACAAAATAATGTAAAAAATAGAAGAAAAAAGCAAGGGACTGTGGCTAGATACACACATCTAGGCATAGGGGGCCAGGTTCCATCTTGGTAGATATTTACAATCACTCTGAGAAAATAAAAATGGGAAAGCTCTCAATTAGAACTGGGTTGACGTAAGGATGTTTTCTTTTTCTAATTACGCTTTGTGTTTTTGCTTTCTTTGCTGAAATAGTTGTATCCTCCCTTAGTGAGGTGACTAGGTTCAAGGGTCCTGTATGAGAATCATAACATAGACCCTACAATGAATATGCTTACAGCATTGTTTCGCCAAAAAGTGGCCAGTCCATGGCAAAACTGAGTAAGAGCAAAGGAAAGCAAAAGAGGAGAAAAATTTAACATTTGGGAAAATGTCAAAACAAAGCCAGAAGACGTTTTTTAGTCTTCATGTACAGTATGTTGACGTGAGCTTGAAGCTTAACCCCCCACAAAATGGAACATTCATGGCAAAAATAAACAAGGCTCCTGTCCAGTCTAAGTGCTTGGCAAATAGGTGAAGTAGTTGCAGTCTTTGGGATTTTAAAAATCCTTCAGAAAAAACAAGGAGGAGAAAGATACATTGACGTTGTTGTTGATGAATGTTGGAAAACTCCCTGGAGTCTTGACTTTTGGAGGTCCTTCAGCTTCAAGTGAGGTAGAGAGGCTTGTCCCGAGCTCCCATGCCACTGCTGATGAAGAGAACACAGAAAAGATGGCATCAATATAGGCACATTTTGGTCCAGAATCCAATTAATTGAATGCCACTCAAAAAACATATATTTATTCTATTCAGTACTATTTATTTGGCAGAGAAGGAGAGCTGTGTGTCACTAGCATAGCAGTGGCAGTGAATGAACACCATGATGTTGCATGATCTTGTCCAAGGGTGGGAGGTAGATTGAGTGGATTCAACATTGACCCCTGAAGGACACCTTGTGTGACAGCCACACACCCTGAACAGTGGTTTTTCAGTTGGACAACCTGTTGCCGGTCAGTGATATAATTATTCAATAAAATACGGAGCTACTTACAGTTTTTTTTCACAAGTATGTGGTGAATTTTCAAAGTAGTACAAAACTCCAAACTGGTAACACTTGTAACGCAGTCAGTCTTACATTCAAAACCTTTCATTGTTCATTCATTTGTCTGTAGACATCTTTCACCACACAACTATTGATCCAAAATATAAGTTTACTCTGAAATATAATGAGTACATCGGTTTAATCACCAAAACACAACATAATGATATCTTCTCAATTAGTTATTTTAACAACAAGTTAATTCAATAGCAAAAAATGTAAGATGCATGTTTAAACATTTCCCTTTGAATGTGGTATGCTACAGTACTGTAAACTACAGTACATTAAACTGTTTTCACATTAGGCAATACACTTGCACTCCCCATTTAAGGTGTGATCATCGAAGACATCTTTCACAATGCAATCAAATGAAAGAAATGAAAGGCACTAGTTTGCATCAAGCCTGTCTTTAGCATTTGGCCATAGGTTCTCATCAAAATCGCAGTAAATATCCTAATTGTTCATGCACCTGGGGAAAACCCTTTTTGCATGGCGAATCCAAGCCTGACATAGGTCTGGACTGAAATAACTGCATGCCTCATCCATGGCCTGAAGGAGGGTGTTACGCTCATGGGGATGGCAATCATACATCTTCCATCGTGTTTTGTATTTTAAAGTATTGTATTGTACATAATTGTTGTAGTGGTCCTGTAAGTGGCTCAGTTCATAAGAGCATGGCACTAGCAACACCAGAGTTATGGGTTCGATTCCCACTGGGGTCACATACCCCACTGCGTGAACTGTTGTCACTTTGGATAAAAGTGTCTGATATTGTATTACTGCACTGTAGGAGCTAAAAACACAAGCATTTCGCTGCACCTGCTAACATCTGCTAATATGTACTGTATACACAACCAATAAACTTTGAATTGATTTGTTACATACAATACATCTCTGATTTTGTCAATATCAGATTGTTTAAAAATGTACTGTGAAGTAAAATCATAATAGTCATCATCATAGTAGTACATTCGAGTATATATGATACTTTTTATGTTTCTAAAAATCTGTAGTAGACAAACCCGTTTACATGTAAAATCTATAGGTTTACCAAACGTTAAGAGCAGTCGGATTAAGTACTAGTAAAATTACCTTTAACAAAAGAGGAGAGAATCATATCAAAAGTACTTTGAGCATTGCATTGTGAAAGGCAATATATATTACATTTTTTTTAGCATGTTCTATTTATTTAATGATTTGTTTGTGCTTAGAGTTTTGAAACAACCTTCTTTTTAGTTTTGTACTAAGAGTTGTGAACATTTACCACATAATTATGAAAATTGCACGGAAGCGATAAAGAAAACAGTAAGTAATGTTCACAATTTACAGTGTAAGGAAAAGTGTTATTTCACTACTACTGCTTTTACTGCTTTTACTGCTTTTAAATAAACAGTACGGTGTCCATTTTAGGACACCCTCACCCTCAAGCCTCACTCTGGCAAAGGACTGTTGATAACACTGTTACTCGTCCCAGTAGGATCTCAGGGCATGCTCACCCGCAATGGTTGGGCCCACAGTCCCGGTTGCAGTACTCGCCGTCCCAGTCGGGGTTCTGTCCGTGCCCTGGGTTGGGCGCCCCCGGGGACTGGGACCCCCCCACACTGTTCTGGTAATCCTGAATGTGAGAGAACCCCTGGAGCACAAGAGGAAATAGTTAAAAAATGCTACCACTTCAAATGCTCCAATGTGGTTGGTGGGCTTCCCAGTAGCATGACGTTCACGTCTACTGCAGGCAATGTGGGCAATGCTCAACTTATTTTAAGTTGGGGAGTAAGTGGACACTGGCTTAAATTCAAAGTGACCCTAAACTCTGGTGCAGATCTAGGATCAGCACGGATACCAGGTCTTTAAGGTGCTTCCTTAGTCTAAAAAGCTATGTTTGAACTTATGATCAATAATAGTTAAATCACCCAGTGTCATGAGATCATTAATACTCACATTATATAACAGCTCTATCACCTTTTTCTAATGTTTCCCCACAACTCTGAATGGCCAAGCAGGGCTGAACGCTGGAGAACAGAGATTGGACTAACCTGTTGGCTGAGAGGAGGTGAGTGCAGAGACCCTTGGAGCCCCATTGAGTGCGACTGGACCTGCTGCATGCGCAGGGAGCTCTGGTGCAGGGCGAGCTGGGAGGGGTGGAGGGGCGGGCTGATCTGGAAGGGGGAGGGGGGTGAGGCACTCATGCTGGGCGGCAGCATCTGGGATTGGCTGAGGGTCCGGGCCAGGGCGTGGTGGGGCGGACCGGCGAAGCTCTGCAGGTCTGACAGTGGGAAGGAGCCGGGGCCCAGACCGTAGGGGGAGGAGGCCTGCGGGGGCACACTGTACAGGGGCTGCTTGGGGGGCAGCATGTGGGAGGGCTGGCTGCTTTGGGAGCTTTTTGGTTCGACGGGGTCATTGTAGGGCTGGAGGTGAGAAACACAAAACAAAGAATGCCTAATGAATGCGACCAAGTAGTGCTGGGTCATGAGTGATGCGCAGGGTTGCAAAGCTACCGGTAGTTTACCATAGTTACCGGAATCTTCAGTAATTTTGGTAATTAACAGAAAATCTATGGCAATCTATCGCAACTTTGGTAATTTATGCTTGAATAACTTTATAAAAAGTAATTATATATAATATTTTTTATATCTGTGTACATATTGTCCATTAATTTCTAGTAGACAGACCATATGGTTCAAGAGATAATAGCCTAATTAATGAAAAAAGCAACTAACCAACAATGGCATTATTTTCCATGAACTCTGCAACTCTTCCAACTATTGACTTTTTTCACAACTGCCATCAGTTTGAAGCCAAAACATTGACAACAAATACATACTGACATAGTAAAATAAATGAGTGTAATTTTTTTTATAGAGGATATTTCATGCTTACCCCCTCAGTAACAATTTACTTGACACCTAGCGTCTTAAAACGTTATGACACAGTCATTACCATAACATAATATGTTATAACTATGCTTTTCCAACAGTTTTGAAGGAGTTCCCACATATGCTCAGCACTTGTTGGCTGCTTTTCCTTCACTCTGCGGTCCAACTAATCCCCAACCATCTCAATTGGGTTGAGGTCGGGTGATTGTGGAGGCCAGGTAATCTGATGCAGCACTCCATCACTCTCCTTCTTGGTCAAATAGCCCTTACACAGCCTGGAGGTGTGTTGGGTCATTGTCCTGTTGAAAACCAAATGATTGTCCCACTAAGCCCAAACCAGATGGGATGGCGTATCACTGCAGAATGCTGTTGTAGCCATGCTGGTTAAGTGTGCCTTGAATTCTAAATAAATCACAGACAGTGTCACCAGCAAAGCACCCCCACACCATCACACCTCCTCCATGCTTCACGGTGGGAACTACACATGTGGAGATCATCCGTTCACCTACACTGCGTCTCACAAAGATACAGCGGTTGGAACCAAAAATCTCCAATTTGAACTCCAGAGCAAAGTACTGATTTCCACCGGTCTAATATCCATTGCTCATGTTTCTTGGCCCAAGCAAGTCTCTTCTTATTATTTGTGTCCTTTAGTAGTGGTTTCTTTGCAGCAATTCAACTATGGAGGCCTGATTCACGCAGTCTCCTCTGAACAGTTGATGTTGAGATGTGTCTGTGACTTGAACTCTGTGAAGCATTTATTTGGGCTGCAATTTCTGAGGCTGGTAACTCAAATGAACTTATCCTCTGCAGCAGAGGTAACTCTGGGTCTTCCTTTCCTGTGGCGGTCCTCATGAGAGCCAGTTTCATCATAGTGCTTGATGGCTTTTGCGACTGCACTTGAAGAAACTTTAAAAGTTCTTGACATTTTCCGGATTGACTGACCTTCATGTCTTAAAGTAATGATGGACTGTCGTTTCTCTTTGCTTATTTGAGCTGTTCTTGCCATAATATTTTTTACCAAATAGGGCTATCTTCTGTATCCCCACCCTCCATGCCCCCCCCCCCCCCCCCGCATTAAAATTATCTTTTAACAAGGCACACCTGTTAATTGAAAAGCATTCCAGGTGACTACCTCATGAATCTGGTTGAGAGAATGCCAACAGTCATCAAGGCAAAGGGTATATATAAAATATATTTAGGTTTGTTTAACACTTTTTTGGTTACTACATGATTCCATATGTGTTATTTCATAGTTTTGATGTCTTCACTATTATTCTACAATGTAAAAAACAGTAAAAATAAAGAAAAACCCTTGAATGAGTAGGTGTGTTCAAACTTTTGACTGTTACTGTATATCATGGGTGCAACATTCAGAGCAGGTGCAGCCCTCACCTTGCTCCCCCCCCCCCCCCCCCCCCCCCCACCCCCACCCAACCACTATGATGAGCTGTCAAATTGCTTATCTGAACCTATCAGTGTTGATTACATGGGCAATGGTGCCCATTTGTATGAATTGTTGCCTGGCCACCGGATAATGATCAATGGACACCTTGACAGATGGATGGGAATGGAGAGGGCCTACACACACACACACACACACACACACACACACACACACACACACACACACACACACACAGGGAAATGAGACTGTTTGCCAGGAGAACAAATGGAATGACAAAAGGAATCTCCCCGACGCTACATTCTGGGCTGTTAACGCGACCCGGCACTAAACAATACAATTCCACCATTCCTTCCTTCCTTCCTTCCTTCCTTCCTCTCCATGTTGCTGCATAAGATATAGGACGCCATCACTCATAGGAAAAAAGGAGAATGCCATATATCTAAATTAGCAGCAAGGTGTCACACTGAAGAAATGCGACAAAATCCCAATTATGTGTAGTGTTGAATTGGATGCGCACTCCCAAGCAATGCAACTGAAGACACAATGGATGAATCAATAACAACAATAAACCAAGAGTTCCATTCATGTGTCTAGTATGAACAGCCATAGACCAGATGTGAATAAACATAGGACTATGTCTGGACAGACCAGAGAGAATTACTAGTGGAACACTTCCTATAAAGACAGATACAGATATTGGCCTAATTAAATATATTTAAATACAATTAAATACAATTGTATTTGTCACATGCGTCGAATACAACAGGTGTTGACTTCACTGTGAAATGCTTAATATATTGTATACAAATAAAGGGCATACATATAGGCCCTACAATCAATAACATCAACATACAGGAGGGAATAGTATGACATTCCCTCTATCAGAACGACTGTCCCAACCCCAACCCCAACTCCAACCCCCAACCTATGGAAATAAGGTATTGTCCCTCGTATGCTATAGTCTTGTTGCATCACCCCACCTCCACTCTCCGTTAGCCCCTCCCCCACCATTAGCTGAGATTTTTCATCAAATCCATCATCACTTTAAGCAAGCCTGGCGTGTCATAAGCGTTACCTTGGAAACCAGACTGGCTCTGTACGTGGCGAGGGCTTTCAGGTACTCTTTCTTGGCCGCCTCGGTTTTCCTCTTGTACGCCTGGAAATCAAAGGAAAAGAGAGTGAGATGAGGTCTACCCACATACAAACACAGAAATGCGCACATAAACACACTCTCTCACATGTTTCCCTTTACATTGGAGCCAATGGAACAGAACCCTTCCATTTCCACATCATACTACCTTATTTCAAGCAGACTTCCTCCATATACTAGAGAAATGAACTGGAACTCTCCATCATTTTAACACTGCAACAGCCATTGCATCACACACTCAAAATGTTGGTGCAATTCTACAAAAATAAAATAATTGTGTGTGTGTGCACCCACGTGTGTGCACATGAGTGCCTGTGTATGCATGTGTGTGCGAGTGTGTGTGTGTGCATGTTGGCATGTGTGTATGTTGAGGGGGGTTGTAAATAACAAGCCTAGTAAGCCCCAAGAGACCAGGGTTGTGGGGTAGATAACACTTAAGTCCTGATGCACCATTGGTTGCTTCCAGTGAATACATCATAATGGATTTAAATTCCAGATGGACAGCATTGCAGCATTTTAATTGACAGTTGATTCTACAATGTATATAAAAATATACAGTGCATTCGGAAAGTATTCACACCCCTTGACGTTTTCCACATTTCGTTACTTTACAGCCTTATTCTAAAATGGATAAAAGTATTTTTTTTACACATAATACCCCATAATGACAAAGGGAAAACAGGTATTTAGAAATTTTTGCAAATGTATTAAAAGTAAAAAACAGAAATACCTTATTTACATACAGTGGGGAGAACAAGTATTTGATACACTGCCAATTTTGGCCCACTCCTCCATACAGACCTTCTCCAGATCCTTCAGGTTTCGGGGCTGTCGCTGGGCAATTCGGACTTTCAGCTCCCTCCAAAGATGTTCTATTGGGTTCAGGTCTGGAGACTGGCTAGGCCACTCCAGGACCTTGAGATGCTTCTTACGGAGCCACTCCTTAGTTGCCCTGGCTGTGTGTTTCGGGTCGTTGTCATGCTGGAAGACCCAGCCACGACCCATCTTCAATGCTCTTACTGAGGGAAGGAGGTTGTTGGCCAAGATCTCGCGATACATGGCCCCATCCATCCTCCCCTCAATCCGGTGCAGTCGTCCTGTCCCTTTGCAGAAAAGCATCCCCAAAGAATGATGTTTCCACCTCCATGCTTCACGGTTGGGATGGTGTTCTTGGGGTTGTATTCATCCTTCTTCTTCCTCCTGTTACGGTCCGGCACTGTTGGTCCTGTTTCCGCTTGTTTCCCTTTTCCTTTTTTCCCTGTGTGTGTGTGTTGTCTGTGTCTGTCTCCCCCTGCTGTGCAGACCAGTCAGAGGATCTAGGTCAGGGGGCGTGGCCATTCTCTATCATGCTCCGTTACCTCCAGCTGCGGCTCATTGTCATCAATCAAACAGCAGTTATCTACCCGGGCTGGACACCTCTCCAGCGCCAGTTCGTTCCTACACCACCTGTGGTAACTTGGCCCTGTACAGCAAATCTCAGTTTAGTTGTACTCTCTCAGTATTATAGTTGTTTCTGCCACGTTTGTAACCTGTCTCTCCTTCGACCAGATCCCGTCTGTTCCTGCTGCCTGCCTGCCTGCCATTCCCACGCCGCAACCTGCTCCTCTGTTGTCTGATATCCTTGTCATCCAGCTCTCAGGACTACTGGCTCTCCACCCCCACTCAGCTCCTACCCCGGCCTGAAGCTACTCCACCTTGAACTGCTTCTCTCTGCCAAAACACGCTGAATAAACTACATCCTAATTCACCCTCGTTGTTCGTGTGTCCGTCTCTGCACCTGAGTCCCCCCACCCAACCTAACAGAACGAACTGGCCAACATGGACTCAGCAGAGATGCCACATGAAACAACGGGTGATGGCGTACAACGCGCCCTCCATTCACAGGGAATGTTATTGGGACAACACGACCAACTCATCCGGACTCTATTGGATAACAACCAGCAGTTGTTTGGATCAAGTATCTCATCTCACCTC